AAATGTTGGTGGTGTAGTGGGGGTATCTGTTGATAATTTCCACCTGCTTGCTCCAGTCAAACGTGTTCCTCCAATAGGAGATCACCTTCTTCAATGTTACAGTATTCACCCCATAATGAAACTCGGAGTCCTCCAGGGAGGAGATGTACCGAGTGCGGTCTAGACGATCATAAAGGTCCTGGAAGAAGTAAATAAATATTGATTATATCAGCAAATCCAATTGAATCATTTAATGTAAGACCCGTCTCATTGCATTGAGATTCTCCAGACCACATGTGTCAAACTCAAGGCCCAGGGGCCGAATCCTGCCCACCAGGCCATTTCCTTGACTTCTACTGTCAGACCTAGGTATTAGGTTATTACTACAACCAGTGATAATGGAATGCAGAGGCAATTATGATAAAGATTAGATACATTTATATAGTCTTACAGATACCTTTGAGGGCAACCATAATGTTGATGCGGCCACGATTCAATTGAGTTTGACACCCCCTGCTCCAGACTGATTCCGAGCTCCACACTTACTCTCTAGCTCTAGAACACTCAGATTTCATGTCATGGCCTTGGCCAAAATTCCACCATTTCCGAGCTTTGGAGGACCATGACATGCTGCAGTCCCATCACACCTTTTACAAAACTGAACAGTTGTCTTCATCATCATGAAATCCTCTGCATCAGGTTGCCAACCATTCCAACAGATAGTCCATGAAGAACCCATGGTCACATGCTTGTTGTACGGACACAAGAGAACGTGCCGATTGTCAGATGTTTCCTCTCTCAATATCTATAGTTTTGTTAAAGGGACCCGATGACAGTACTGGAGTGTTAGTTATTTAATCCATAAAGATATGAGGGTTCCAAAGCTCCCAACATTCTGAGATAAGAAAGGGGGACACGTCCCAGCACAATGTGTGTAGGCCATGGGGACTCATCTGTCCTCTAGGGACGCTTAAGAATTTCTATGGCCTAAAATAATTGGGTAAGCCCAGAACTGCTGCTCTCCACCATTACTTTTCCTTCATACAAAATTGAAAACAAGATAATTAAGAGATAAGATTGAGTACAGAATAACACTTTTGGTTTTGGTAGTTAAATGCACTCTCATAGATCCCCATTTTGAAGGCTTATTATACACCTTTTATTGGCCATAAAAGGTGTATGGGGATCCGGGTACTGCCCTGGAGGACATGTATGGGGATCCGGGTACTGCCCTGGGGGACATGTATGGGGATCCGGGTACTGCCCTGGGGGACATGTATGGGGATCCAGGTACTGCCCTGGGGGACATGTATGGGGATCCAGGTACTGCCCTGGGGGACATGTATGGGGATCCAGGTACTGCCCTGGGGGACATGTATGGGGATCCGTCAAGCAAAACAAAACATTTTCTTTCACATTTTCTGCAGAAGACGTGTATCTAAACCTCTGTTTTTAACCTTAGCTGTTAGACAGGTTTTTTTGCATGCTGGCTGGTGAGTGTGCCTGGAAACTTTTTGCTGTTTTAATGTATGGGGATCCAGGTACTGCCCTGGGGGACATGTATGGGGATCCAGGTACTGCCCTGGGGGACATGTATGGGGATTTGGGTACAGCCCTAGGGGACATGTATGGGGATTCGGGTACTGCCCTGGGGGACATGTATGGGGATCCGGGTACTGCCCTGGGGGACATGTATGGGGATCCGGGTACTGCCCTGGGGGATATAAATCAATGAAAAAAACACTTAAAAAATACAGTTTTTAAAGGAGCCGTGATTTTAACATTGCTTAAAGGGAACCAATAAAAATGAAAAAATCCTTTAAATATTGTGCATGAGGGGTGCCCTTAAACTGCCTGTGAAATGGCGGATCTGTACGATGTATAGAACCTGCTGCAGCAAAACTGACATTTCTAAAGAAAAAAATAATTACATTTAAAAAAAAAAAAAAAAAAAGTATGGGGTCCCCCCCCCCAACCAATTTAGGTCTGG